ATTCCCAGCAACCACATGGTGGCTCACAACCATCTATAATGAGATCTGGTGCCCTCTTCTGACCTGCAGTAATACCCACAGGCAGAACACTGTATACATAATAAATAAATAAATCTTTAAAAAAATTAAAAAAAAAAAAAACAGAAACAGCTGGCTGCCTGGACAGTCACCCAAGGTTCCTCTGCAACATTGGGGCATCCATCTTCGACCTACAGGCTTAGAATATCTGATAGACTTTTCTTTGAAGCAGGAATATTTCAAGGACTGTTCTACTCTGTCTTGGAAAGTTTGGCAGTCGCTTTCTTTTGTGTCCTGCTTGTCCAGTTTGGACAGCATATTGTCAGCAGTCGAGGCAAGGGCAGTTTCTTCCCCAATAAAGAAAGCAAACTCCATATAGAGGTTCTTTGATGCCCATCCTTTTTTTAAGTAGATTGGTGCCACCAGGAGCAGACATGTCTCACTGTCAAGAAAAGCCTCATGTTATGAAAACATTTTAAATGCTATAATCTGTGGTCTTTGAAGTGTTTGAAGATCACCTATCTAAAATATATCTCTGTATGACCTTAAGAATATATCTAACATGACTATAAGTTTGATAGTTATAGATGACTATTAACCTATATTTATTATCCTAAATAGCTTTCAGAGACTAAAAGTTTATATAACCTTTTTAAATGAGCTGCATAGATATAATACCTTAAACAAGAATAGAAACAAATATATAGTATAACAAAAATAGCCCTAAATTTGTATCAATATACAAAAATTCATACCAATGTAAAGTATTTAAGACTAGTGGTTATTTAAAAGTAGACTCAACAAACCACCCTTTTATTTCATCCTTTTTATACTATATCCCCCTTTTTTTTCCTTCAGAAAGAGATCCTTGAATCTAACTCCCTTGTTTAGCTTCTTTTCCTATGACCAATAACAACTCTTAACCAAATATCTGTAACCCACTGAATGACCAAAAGCCATCCATTCCACCTCTTGGGATTGTGGGCATTGTGTTCTCTAGATTGCTTCCTGTTGTTTGAGGGTGCTGGCATCTTTAAGAGACCCTGGGAAAATTGGAATAATGGTCAAGTCCTAGGAGAGGTAGCTGTATCATTTGTTGTCCAGTCTCTGTGCAATGGGAAAGTGCAAGGCTTATCTGAAGTCCTGGCTCTTGGAGTAATCTGTGAGACTAGACCGTCTCAACCATCAGTCTTCAAGCTGTTCTGGATGCAGAACTCTGAGGAAACTGCAACAGAGGCTTTCTGAGATGCTGGATCGCCTGGACCACCCATTTTCATTCGTGTCTGGTTTCCTTGTTCCTCTTCTTTGATTTTTATTTCATGTGTTTTGGTGTTTTGCTTGCTTGTTTATCTGTTTGAGAATGTCAGATCTCCTGGAACTGAAGTCACAGATAGTTGTGAGCTGCCATGTGGATACTGGGAATTAAACTGCTGAGCCATCTCTCTAAGCCTTTTTCTCGTCTTCCTGTCTTCATATGTTTCTAAAGGACTGTCATTTGATATATATAAATGTTTAGGGTTTTCTGTTGCTGTATTATTGTTTTAAAAACAGGCTCCCTCTACATTCCCATCTGGAACTTACAGAGATCTGCCTGCTTCTGCCTCCCAGGTGCTGGGATTAAAGGTGTTCATCACCACACCCAACTTATTTTTATTTTTTAAAACAAGCTAGTCCCTGAACACCTTCCCCCAAAACCAGGCTCAACCCCAGGTGCATAGCTGCCATGTGTGGGAGGCCTAATAGCTCCTGAAAGATATAAAACTATGTTTTATATCTCATATCTTTGGCAGGCTGGAGTATCGACTTGGAGTCCAATAGTTGGATGCTCTTGGGGCTCTGAGGCACTTCAGAGTTATATTTACCTGGCCATGTATGCCAGTGTAATCCCTCATTATCATAAATCTATTGTGCATGCTTACGCGTGTGAATGCAAGTGTGTGTGTACGTGTGTGTGTGTGTGTGTGTGTGTGTGTGTGTGTGTGTGTGTGTGTGTGTGTGTGGTGTTGCTACAGCTGGTATTTAGTTGGTATTTGGTTATTTAGTTGTCTGGTGGTACTTGGCCTAAAACGTAGAGTCTCCCTCATGCTAGTTGAGTGCTTTACTGTAGAGCAGCCCCCCAGCCTTGTTTGTGTGCCTTTTTGAGATAGGGTGTCCCCATGTAGCTCAGGCTGGCCTGGAACTTGGAATTCTCTGCCTCAACCTCTCAGACACTAAGATTGTAGGTCTGTGCTACCACATCTGGCCCATGTTCTCTTTTTAAAATGGAAGTTGTAACCTCTGACCTCAAGAAGACTATTTAGAGGATCAGACATGACTGCAAATGAAAAGTGCCAAAGAGCCGGGCGGTGGTGCCGCACACCTTTAATCCCAGCACTCGGGAGGCAGAGTCAGGCAGATCTCTGTGAGTTTGAGGCCAGCCTTGTCTATAGAGCGAGTTCCAGGACAGGCTCCAAAGCTACACAGAGAAACCCTGTTTCAAAAAAAACTGGGGGGCGGGGGGTACCAAGGGTAGTTCTCTATCATGAGTTTCCTTTGTGACCCAGCCTGCCTTCCTGTCTTCTCAGACATATTGAGACCATCTGCCTTTCTAGACACCAGTAGTCACAAGCATCTCTCCTAAGCTTCCCCCAAAAACATTCTTTAGTAGGCAAAGCATTCTTACCAAGCCAGAATCTCTAGCTTCTTCCCCTGTGCCAACAGAGCCCCATCCTAAACCTACATTTGGTAGTAGTAGATGATCAGAGGACCTTGGCAAGGAGTCTTGTACAGTGTATTTCAAGGTCTCATCTTTAGCCTCTCAAATTCAGGTACCAGTTGTCCCTGTCTGCCAGAGCTAGACTCACTGTGAAGACAATTGTGATTACTCCATTAAGGTCCAGCATACCATGGTCCTACAGCTGACCCAGGGAGAGTTGAAAAGAAGAGTCAGGTTCTCACAGACCCAGAGAAACTGATGGTCTTCTTTCTCCCTCAGTAGACAGTTTCCTGTATGTGAGGACAGACATACATCAGCTCTGATCTTGGAACATTTCAGGTTTCAGGAGGCCTTCTTCAACTTAGTTTCAGAGTATAAAGAAGGGTCCTTATACAAAAGACTATAGTTGGCCAGGTGGTGGTGGCGCACACCTTTATTCCCAGCACTCAGGAGGCATAAGCAATGGATCTATGAGTTCGAGGCCAGCCTGGTCTACAGAGCTAGTTCCATGACAGCTAGTACTGTTGCACAGAGAAATCTTATCTTGAAAAAACCAAAAAAAAAAAATTTTAAAAAGAATATGGTTGTTCATCTCAGTGACAAAACTACCTGATAGCCAAATTTGGTTAAGGGGAAGGGATGCTAGTATAGGTCAGACTTGAATCATATGCCACAAAATTAGGGCATCATTATTGACAGCCTAATCCTTCCCTATAGAGTCTCACGGTGGGAATGGGAAACAGAAATATGATGCTTACACAGAAAGAGCAGGGGGGTTTTGAGTAGACAGAAACAGCAGGCGTTACTTCATGTTCTCCCCTGGGTATTTTCCTGACCATGGTCAAGACCCAAGAGGTTGCATTTCACACTGATTCTTAACAAGCATGAACACACTGTCAGAGGAGGACAGTGGTGACTAACAGTCCTGTGCTGCAAAAGCCCTGCCAGTCAGCTGGGGGACTGAGGTGCTTGCTCTCATTGAAGATGCTTTAGGAAGGAGAGGCTGGCACCCAGAGTCCCTGGACATGGGTCCAGCTGACTCTGGCTCTCAATCTGGTCCTGCCACCTGCTAGTTCTGGAACCTGAGGCAAATCACCAAACCTCTTGGAGCCTGTTTTCACTCTTAGAAAATGGGCTCATAAGCCAGGCGGTGCTGATGCACGCCTTTAATCCCAGCACTTGGGAGGCAGAAGCAGGCAGATCTCTGTGAGTTCAAGGCCAGCCTGGTCTACAGATCAAGTTCCAGGACAGCCAAAGCCACACAGAGAAACCCTATCTCGGGGAAAAAAAGAAAAAGAAAAGAAAAGAAAGAAGGAAAGAAGGAAGGAAGGAAGGAAGGAAGGAAAGAGAGAGAGAGAGAGAGAGAGAGAGAGAGAGAGAGAGAGAGAGAGAGAAAGAAAGAAAGAAAGAAAGAAAGAAAGAAAAAAGAAAAGAAAATGGGTTCATAATTTGGTGATGAAGGCTAAGCAGATAAAGGCCTTGCTACTAAGCCTTCTGGCCTCCACAGGTACACAGTGGCATGCCCACCCACATGCATACACACACAGTGAATAAATATAATTTTAAATTTTTAATAGTATTATGGGGACTAGAGAGGTGGCTCAGCAGTTAAGAGAACTTCCTGCTCTTCCAGAGGACCTGAGTTCAATTCCTACCGCTCAAGTTAGCCAGTTCATAATAGCTGCAAGGTATCCAAGGCCCCCTCTGGCCTCTGCAGGTATCCATACGCACATGATATACACTCACACTTGCACACACATAAGTAATAAAAATAAATCTTTTAAATTTATTTTATTTTTATGTGCATTTGTGTTTTTGCCATGGGTGTTGAGGTCCCCTGAAACTGGAGTTTCAGACAGGTGTGAGTTGCCATGTGGGTGCTGGGAATTGAACTCAGGTCCTCTGGAAGAAGAGTCAGCACTCTTAACCCCTGAGCCATCTCTCCAGCCCAGTAAGTCTTTTAAAAGGGTTTTTGTGGATGAGAGTGAGCTCTTGTAATGCTCAGCAGCTGCTTCATTCCATTTCCTGTGACCAGGTTGTGCCTGTGAGCCTTCTTGTTTTGTGTGGATTTCTTAGACCAGTTCTAGTTACTAGATGGTGAGCTCCCAGGACCATTGGCCCTCATTGATGTGCCCATTCGTGAGAGCAAATCTGGTGTCCAACAAGGCAGTCAGCAGAGGACCCTGCAAAGTGGGGGGCCCCTCTGTTGGGCTAGAGGTGAAGGACAAAAATAAGAACATATAGACTGTTTTGGGACTCAGTCACATGCCTGTTTTTTTAATTCTAGGATGAATGGAGCCAAAGAGAAACTGTGAGTGTGGCTATGGCTCAAGCCCTGGAGGAGGTGCGGAAACAGCGGGAAGAGTTCCAACAACAGGTATGCCCCTAGCTGGCTACTCAGGTGTGTTCTCCTGCAGTCTCAAGAGCACTGTGCCTCCCGTTGGGGGCCATCAGAGAGGCCCCACACACCCAGGGTAGGCATGTCAAGGGTCTCAGGCAACATAGTCAATTGGGAGATGCCCTGTGACCTGTAGGATTCTAGGAGAAACTATTACCAAGAAACTTTACCCCAGGTAATGCCCCTTCCTAACTTTTCATGGCTAGTTACTTAGTTGTAAAATATTGATTAGAGAAAAGTCCTTTAGTAGGGATCTAACGGTCTTAATTCTGTGAAGTGGTACATCACCATCTGCTACCCACAAAGGGTGAGTTCTCAGCCAGAAGTAAAGGGAAAACCATATGTGGGTACAGACAGAGCACCTAGTTCTAGTCTTGCTGGCTAGAGGCCTCTAATGTGTTCTTGACCAATCTGAAGGCTAGTCACCTCTGAAAAGAACCTAGGGTAATCATACCTGGTACATTCTGACACCAGAATGAGATGATACAAAAGGGTGGTGCAGCATGCTCAGGAAAGGATGTATTGAGAGGCTGACCAAAACTTCCACACTCTAACTTGGCCCAGCATAGGCCATAGGGCAAATGAGGGGAAGCACCCTGTGCAGGGCATTTAGCAGAATGGATCCAATTGCCATAGGTTTGTTCTAGGCCACAGATGTCATGGAGGGCTCCCCACCACCGACCCCAATTGGAAAATGGAGTTCCTGTGGGAGAGGGGATTTTGTCAGCCCCTCTCATGCTAAATTTTCTGCTAAGGCTGCCCAGCTAACAGCCATCATAGAAGAGAAAAATCGGAACCTGTGTGAAAAGGACAGAGTGCTTCTCCAAAAGGAACAGGAACTTCGCCAGCTGGAGAAAGGTGAGTCTACCCATGACCAGCAAGGGTATCACTAGTGAGCCAGCCTATCACAAAGCAGTGTACAGTTACTGGCTCACACTGTACTCTACCACCCTAGGTCACGAGTCTGCCCTGCTGCAGATACACCAACTGCAGAGTGAAGTGGAGGCTTTAAGGAGCTGCAGAGCCCAGGAGGCAGTGCAGACCGCAAGAGGAGAGGACCCCCTGCAGCTGCAGGGCCAGGAGCCACTTGTGAGTGCTATCCCTATACTAGGGGTTAGGGTAGAGTGCCTGCTCTGCACCTTTAGGGTCCTGTCTTTATGGTAAAGGTGCTCAGCTGTCTAGGGGGCTTGAGACCTATGGGGCCATCTGTGTGGCAGCACCTGTTAGTGTGCCAGTTGATTGCCTCTAGTTTGCCTGGCAGCCACTGAATGAAATCATCTTATGTCTGACCTTAGTTCCCACCAGCAGCTTGCTGCAGCATGCCAAAGAACACCTATGCAGTGAGCTGGCACTTCTTCCCCACAGACCTGCATCTCAGCTCCTGCCTTTTGTCTTGTTGCCACTATCCCATAGGTCATCACAAAAGCCATGCAGGATTCTGAGTATGAGCTTCAGATTGCAGAAGGAACTCCAAATGGTGAGGTTGAGGCCATGGATCTAGAGCAGCTACAGAAAGAAAAGCAGGACTTAGAGCAGCAACTTACAGAGAAAAATAAGGTGAGGACACCCTGCACCTGGCTAGCCATGGGTCTGCTCTAGCCCAGCTCTCAGGCCTGAGGCCCTGCTGTTCCTCCTCACTGTCGTTATCCCTTCCACCAAGTCTGCCATCTCTCCTTAAGAGGTTGGTGCTGGCTTTCTGATGGCTGTTGGTCTCACTCCTTTGTCCTACTATGTTTACATCTCTCAGTGCAAATTGAAATCCTTGCTGAGTGTAGTGATGCACACCTGTAACCCTGCACTCTGGAGACAGATGCAGAAGGGCCAGAAGAAAAGGCCAGCCTGGGCCATGTGAAGCTTCTTTAGAGACTGGTCTCACCATGTAGCTAGCTGTTTGTTTGTTTGTTTGTTTGTTTGTTTTTCAAGATAGGGTTAGGGTTTCTCTGTGTAACAGCTCTGACTGTATTGGAACTCACAGAGATTCACCTACCTCTGCCTCCTGAGTGCTGGGATTACAGCTGTGTGCCACCACCACCCAGTGTACATACACAAAGTTTTTTTAAAAATCTTTAAAACATTTTCCTTTTTTTATTTTTGTTTTTGTTTTTGTTTGTTTGTTTTGAGACAGGGATTCTCTGTGTAGCCCTGGCTGCCCTGGAACTCACTCTGTAGATCAGGCTTGTCTCAAACTCACAGAGATCCGCCAGCCTTTGTTTCCCAAGTAGCTGGGCAATGGTGTCACCTGCCTTTATTCACAGCACTCAGGAGGCAGAGGCAGGCAAATTTCTGTTTGAGGCCATCCTGGTCTACAGAGTTCCAGGACAGCCAGGGCTGCACAGGGAAACCCTGTCAAAACAAAGAGTTTTGTTTTGGAGTTCAGCCTTTTTAATGAATGATGGAATGTGTAGTAAACTATATTTAAGCCTTATAATAATAAACCCACTGATTGTAATATAAAAATAAAATCAGTGGAGCCATGCGGTGGTGGTGCACACCTTTAATCTCAGCACTTGGGAGGCAGATACAGGCAGATATCTGTGAGTTCGAGGCCAGCCTGGTCTAGAGAGGGAATTCCAGGACAGCCAAGACCTCACAAAGAAACCCTGTCTCAAAAAAATAAATTAAAAAAAATTAAAAAATAAAATAAAACAGTGTTGGTGGAGTATACAGAAAAAATCATGACCTTTTACACTATCTTGAATTACACTGCAGAGTATCAGTTCAGCAGTGATAACTGTGAGATCCAAACCAAAAAAAAAAAAAAGAAAAGAAAAATGAATCTGAGGGGCTGGATAGATGACTCAATGGCTAAGAGCACTGCTGGTAGAGAAACCTGGGTTCAATTCTCAGCATCCACATGGCAGCTCCAGGCCCGGGATCTGACACGTCAGAAAGCAAAACACCCATACTTTTAAAAAATGGGGGCTGGAGAGATGGCTCAGCGGTTAAGAGCACTGTCTGTTCTTCCAGAGGTCCTGAGTTCAATTCCCAGCAACCACATGGTGGCTCACAGCCATCTGTAATGAAATCTGGTGCCCTCTTCTGGCCTGCAGGTGTATGTGCAGACAGAACACTATACATAATAAATAAATCTAAAAAAAAAAAAAAAATGGAATATGTTCTACAGAGCCACTCACAGGAGCACTCTCCAAGTGTGTGGGCACTGCCAGCAGGCCTGAGGGCCCACACACAAGGTTGGGTAGGCAGGGTTCTATTGAAAGAACATGATGATACCCTGGCCCCTCTGGAGCCTGGGAAGGCAAAGGGTAGAGCAGCAGCAAGGAAGCCCAAGGAGTCACTGAGAATGAGCCTACAGGAGGGCCTCTTAAGGCCTTCTAACATGGCACTAACAGCTGACTTTGGGGTGGGGGTTACCTCAGATTATGAAGCAAATGCAACAGAGGATGCTGGAACTTAAGAAGACTCTGCAGAAGGAGCTGGTGAGTGCCCACTTGTGCCCTCCACACACTCAGTCCCACATCTCCCCACTCCCATGCCCTCCCTGATTTTCTGGTCCTCTTGGGGTCCTTGGCTGCCTGGGGTGCTCTCTTAGTTGATTGCAGAGGGTTCTCTAAGAGGTTGGATGTGAGCTAGTGGAAGAAGGATCTTGAGGAGTGTTCTTGTGACCATGCAACCTTGGGCATGAGGTCTGAGTCTGCCTTCTCCATGCCTGCATGCATTCTCACATAGATAGAAAAACATGACCTAGTTCCCTCCTCTCAGCCACTGACCCCAAGAGAAGAGCTAAGCCTTCCTCAGGTTCAGGCACTTCCCTAGTCAAGGGCCCTTTTGCCCAGTGATGTACAGTTAGTTAGTCAGGAACTGATCACAGCTGGGTCTGGTGAATCTTCCTGTGATCCTAGACCTAGCTGGAGGGCTTTGACATGGCACATTTCCCATTGCTTTTCAGAAAATCAGGCCTGACAGTGAGCTTTTTGAGGTCCGGGAGAAGACAGGTCCTGAGATACCAAATATGGCCCCTTCTGTCACCAATAATGCTGACCTGACTGACGCCCGAGAGATCAATTTTGAATACCTTAAACATGTTGTTTTAAAATTCATGTCCTGTCGAGAATCTGAGGTAAAGACTTGGAGCTGCTTTTTTGGGTGTTGGGCTCGTAGAGTCTATCCTGCATGGCTTCCCTCAGTCTCCTTCTACCTACTTCCCCTCATCCCTCAGTGCTGACCTGCTAAGCAGACTGTAATGGGAAGTGGCTCCTGGGGAGATGTGGGTTCCCCTCTGAATTCTAGCTTTAATGCTGCTGAAGCTAAAGACCTAGAAACAGTCTGTCCAGCATGAGGAGCGGGGTAGCTATTGGCTCTCAGTCCCCAAAGTGAGAGATGACTCAAAAAGCTGGAATTGCACCCACTACCTCATCCTTGTGAACCAAGGCAAACAGGAAGTGCTGCCATTTAACTCCTTAACTGCCTGCCTAACTACCCCCCCCCCAGGCCTATGGCAGTAAAAGTGGGTTTTGTTTCAGGCTTTTCATCTCATAAAAGCAGTGTCAGTGCTGTTAAACTTCTCACAAGAAGAAGAGAACATGCTCAAAGAAACTCTGGAATATAAGGTAAGCTTCCCTAGTCTGCTGTTTCCACTGCTGCACAGGATTATCAGTTACTTAGGCACTGGCATCCAGACCAGCTCCTGAGGCAGGTGACCAGCCACAGCTGTACCTCAGCTTATTTGCTTTTTGCTTTTGGTTTTTCAAGACTGTTTCTCTGTGTAGCCCTGGCTGTCCTGGAACTTGCTCTAGCCTTGAACTCAGAAATTCACCTGCCTCTGCCTCCCGACTGCTGGGATTAAAGGCTTGTGCCACCACCCAGCAGCTTACTTGCTTTTGTAAGATGAAATTGACCAGGAAGTTCAAAGAACAGTCTTTTATTTATATTTTATGTATGAGTGCTCTGCATGTGCACCTGCACACCAGAAGAGGGCATCAGATCCTGTATAGATGGCTGTGAGCCACCACATGGTTGCTGGGAATTGAACTCAGGACCGCTGGAAGAGCAGCAAGTTCTCTTAACTGCTGAGCCATCTCTCCAGCTCCTAAAGAACATTCTTTAGCCCAGTGTTCTGTTCTTTGTCACCACCAGATGCCAGACTTTGTTCATCACAGCATTTTTTTGTTTGTTTGTTTGTTTTTGTTTTTTGAGACAGGGTTTCTCTAATGTAGCTTTTTGAGCCTGTCCTGAAACTCACTCTGTAGCCCAGGCTGGCCTCGAACTCACAGTGATCTGCCTGCCTCTGCCTCCTGAGTGCTGGGATTAAAGACGTGTGCCACCACCCGGCAAACCTGGAAATATTTTTTTTTTTTTTTTTTTTTTTGGTTTTTCGAGACAGGGTTTCTCTGTGTAGCTTTGCGCCTTTCCTGGAACTCACTCTGTAGCCCAGGTTGGCCTCGAACTCACCGAGATCCATCTGCCTCTGCCCATCACAGCATTTTCATTGATGGAACTTCTCTATTGCTCCAGTTCTGGCCTGGCACCTACATTTAACATTTTTTTTCCCCCCGGGCTGGGGTATACCTTAGTGGTAAAGTGCTTGCCTAGTACGTGCAAAGTCTCAGATTCAGTCACCAGCACAGCAAACCCCATGAAATTGCTAAGGCATCTGCATAAATGCTGTAATAGAATGGGAGAAACCCACCTCCAGTTCCACACTCTTCTCATCAGTCCAGTTCCTTCCTACCATTTCTTTTCCTGAATCTGGGCTCTTAGCCCTGCAGACTGGGTTATTGGAAGCTTCCTGGTTACTCCTCTGACCAGCTGGGATGACTAGAAGACAAGGGTTGTTTCCGCTCCCACTGCCCCTAGTTCTGTCTCTCAGCTCAGGAGCCTTTTCTGTTTCAAATGCAGATGTCTTGGTTTGGATCCAAACCAGCTCCCAAGGGCAGCATCCGGCCATCTATATCCAACCCTCGGATACCATGGTCCTAGAACCACCCAAGGATGGAGCTACATGGGCTGACACTCTTTCTGTGAAAAGAACACTGACACACCAGACTGGGTGGGTTTTTAAACGCTGTAACTGCAGTATTTTGTACAAGTGTCTAGACACTGTTTACAAGCCTACCTGCCTGCAAGCTGATATGAACTTCAAAAGGGAGCCAACCCTGTCATTCTGGTCACCAAACAAGAGGAATCCTGAGCACTGACCAGATCTTCACCGTGCTGCTAATATCCCAGCTCTGGCCAGCTGCAGTTGAGTCCTCTATCATTTAATATTAGCACTTAAAATTGAAGTGACCGGCTTGTGAGGTAACAACTAATTATCAGAGGTGATATGACTAAAGGTGGAGCCAGTCCTTGCATAAAAAGCCGACTCAAGGGTGGTCTTTGAAGTCCTCTTGCACTAGCATGTCGGGGTTCTCATGAAAGTGTCATTTCACTTTGTTTCCCCAACCACCTGGAACTTGAGATGTGTCCATCTCATAGGTAACGGGGCCAGTGTGGACTGACGAGTATGCAACTTTCCAGTCCTGAGAAAACTAGCAAGCAGATGGAATGATCTCTACATACAGCACCAAATACACTCAATTGCCTTCTTAATGAATGTACTCGTCTTGGATGGGTTGCTGGTAAACCATTTTAAACTATTTTTTATAGCAAAAGTTCTTCACTATTATAAACATGTCTCCTGTGTTATAAAATCCACTTAAAAAGGAAAATCAGAAAGCCATGTCTTTCTATTGCCAGGACTCATGCCCCTTTGTCATTTTGCTTGCCTTCTGTGGCACCTGCTCTCTGAAGTGGTAGAGTTCCTCTGGCTTTGCTCTGAATTCTGTCATATTACCACTGAGCAAAAGCCAATCACACTTTTCTACTTAAGAACAACCTGCTGAATTCAATGGAAGCAGGCTCTTACTCTCCTACCCAAGTATTTAACACTACATTCATACATGGCATCCAGACAGCCCAGCTGGCTGCCACACTTGATAGCACACATGCCTCTGTTTTAGCTGATAGAAACTTATGTTCATTTTTACACTGGTTCTGGATAAGCCACATCAGATCTCAAGGGAAACAATTTGAGTTTGATCAAAGTTTCATTAGCAAATAAACTAATAAGTGGAGCTTCTAAAGTTACCATTTATCTAAGTAAATTTATGTTTTTCAGCTTAAGGTCAACATATGTATGTATATACATATAATGTGCCATACAGAAATCCAGGTATTTGCAGCATTTGCCTTCTAAGTCAGGATGGCATTGCTTTGGCTGTGGCTCTTCTTGAAGTTTCCCTTTAGGGTGCCCCTTACCATTTAGTGGGGACATGAAACCAGAGTCCCACTGTTCTATGACTTTACTGAGGAAGATGTAGCTTCTCCACCAAGTAGGACTTCCTCCTTTCCTCCTGTCCCAGGTAGGAACCCTCAGAGGACTGGGCAGTC